TATTGTGACCTTTCAAAGAGTTTTGTGAAGTGAAACTCTGTGATCATGCTGTTTTTATGTTCAGGCAGAGGCTTTTTATCTTACATATCAAAATTGTCCAAATCTTCTGAAGAAAAAAAGCTAGTGGTACAAGAGGCCCTTGAGCTGTTCTCTGTAAGGAATAAAAATGTAGTTTGAGAAGGACATACTAGAGGAATTTGCCATCCTATTAACAACTGAAGCAGCCAATAAATAAGTAAATAGGAATTATGCAAGTCCTTGACTATTTGTGCTAAACAGGAACGACATAGAGGGAGATAAGTGTGCAGACAGAGCCTGTTGCGTTTGCTGTTGTTCACCCACATCATTTAATTATACCTCAGCCAAGCCAAGTGCTACATGCCATCAATCTCAATCAATCAATTAGCCAACTAAACAAGCCATGCTCAGACATTCGTTCACTCTCAATTTCCCCATTGTGCTAATTACACTTAAACATGTCATTCCAAATTAAAATTGAACATTTAAATGGAATTAGTAGCGTCTAACTGAAATATCACCCTTGTACGTTCATGATGCACTGAAAACTGGTACAGCCGAGCAGCAAATACTTATACCCGTTTTCAATTCAGATGCTTAATTTCAAGAGTTCAACCTCAAAGAAAAATTTATAAATATAGAGAAAATCCCATAATCTGCTGTGTTTAAAAAAAAAAAAAATCAAGGCAGGTATTTAATGTTCCTTGAGGGAAGCATTATATTTCAGTGATTGTATGAGTGAGGGAGAAAAGTGGCTGGTTTCTAAGGTTAAACTATTCCCATTAAAGTTTGAATAATGTTATTGACCTTTACCTGGGATGGATCACTTAAAGTAATGGGAAATGGTGGCACTGACAGAATTATGATGACAGAATAGCTTATGGTTATGAATTAGGTCTTGTTCCTCGAAATGCCTATCAATTTGTCAAATCACGAACATCCACATGTTCAGCTGGAAACCTTAACAGGGGCCCCTAAGCCTATCGGTGTCAGTCATTTTGTCATTTAAAACATTTCTCGCCTCCATCTTTACCACAGGTGCATGTGTCAGTCACCAATGGGAGCTCAGATTGCTGCTGCTGCTGCTCACCCACATCACATCTACATCAGTACAGTAGTTTTGCCTTATCGTTTGACAAGTATCAGCAGCTCAGGATGAAGTGAGCAGTTTCAATCCAGCTAATGTATGCAGCATGTTGAACGGGCGAAGTGAATTTGACAACAAATACAGATTAATAAATTCTGCTGTTCTCAAGCAGGACAGGACTACAAAGTGAAGCTATGTTTTTGATCAAGTCACCACAGCACACCACTTTAAACATTGATATCTTTTTATTAAGACAAGTACTCTTCTGATTTTTTTTTTCTTTTGTAAAAATGTTGGTGTTAACCAATACAAAATATGCATGGTCATATGAGAAACATCCTCTTCACTACACAAAAGAAAAATGTCGCCTGGGTACAGAGAGAAATCTCAGATTCAACAACAAAAACAACCAGTCCCCCCCCCCCCCCCCCCCCCCCCCCCCCCCCCCCCCCCCCCCCCCCCCCCCCTCCCCAGGCTGAAACACGAGTTTCATCCAAATATCCAAGACATGTTACATCATTCATAAAACTTCATGTCACAGTAAATACGCCATCTTTTCATCTATGAAACTTTATGCTTGAATTGAATGACTGCAAACAGATGCTTGTCTGGCTGTGGTCACATCCTATAATTACTAAATAACCAATACTGTATGAGCAAAGTGTTACAGTGGAAGAGGAAGAAGTTTATGAACATCATCGTGATTTTGTTGACACTGACTGTACATAATTTTCATTTGCTTAACAAATCTAGTTTTCTTTCTTTGTGAACTAGGTCTATGCAAAATAATATTTAACGTTTACTGTAACAGTGCACCATATTAAGAACACATAAACATGTACAACTGAGAAAAACATGTACATCTTGTGATTTCTTCACTTTTCGAATAGCTGTGGTACTACAGTATATACTTGGGGCCTTAAATTTGCATTCTACCTGAGATGCAAAAAACACAACTATTAACACTCATGAACCTGAGAGAGTGAAAACAAACGTACTAAATATCAAGTATTAAAAAAATCAAAAATTGGATTAGAATGATGCTTCTGACAATCTTTTAATGTTCCTTGATTAAAAGCAGCAGTCACTTCATAACCATTTAAGATAAATATCAAACCAAAAATAAAATTTGTCATGCACATAACTGTTTCCATGACACCAAAACTCTAAAATCCACAAAAATGTACTTTTGTATTAGCTTCGTATAGCGTTTAGTACTGTATTCCTCTCTGATAATACTAGTGAGCCTTGTCCTTGAAGATATCCAAATAAATAACAAATGAAGTGAAGCAGAGAAAACAATTAGGATCAAATTGAAATTGTTTTGCGATCACTAATCAAGACAATATACTACATCCTGGCATACGACATTCGAGTCAGTGGAAGCTGCCACACCACCCTGGTAAACAAAGAAATACTTTTTTTTTTTTTTTTTTTTAAACATCAAACTCATTCCAGCTTTTTATTTTATGTTCCATGTCGTATTTTTGATGGAGGTCTATGGTGCGTGAACATAGACAATGTGGATGAGTACTGGCCCTGTAAGTTAGAAAGAACAGAAATATACAAGATATACTGTAAGTGTGTACATGAGGATACTGTACGATACTAACCATATGCCTCAAAATCAAAGAAGGCACTAAATTAAGTCCTTCAGTCTTTTCCTTTATAATGATAAGTATCAAGAGGTGGGTTTAAGGCAGTGGTTATCCTTTTTTCAATACATTTACAGATTTTCTTTTTTCATAATTCAGGCAATACAATTCAAATCACTCACTAATTACCAAACAGGTTTTAGAGGGATGGAGCGTGCAAGGTATGCACACTGCATCTCTGTCTGCGAGCATCGGATCTTCTGAATTGATTTTGTGAAAAGAAAAGAAATTTGTAACAGTAGACGGCTCCTCTGTGAAGGTTTGAGGCTGCTGGATGACAGTAAGAAAATGATCTTTCCCAAACCAAGTCACAAGCTCTACGCAAATCTTTGATAACTTGTAACGGCTCTCGGCCTTACAAGTTATCAAAGATTTGCAGCCCAAAGGTAAAATGTCTTTACAGACTGCAAAAAAATATAACTGATTCATGTTACCAGTGATTGAATGTCTTTTTACTTGGGTGTGGGCAAGGGCAAAAAGTCTGTATAGCAAGGATTTCTAAGCCAGAAAATAAGCAGTGAATTTTTTTTTTTACTTGCTTGATACTTTATACATCACTGAAAGGAAACCGCCATTGAATGTGTGACATTCCTTCCTCCCTTCAACACAATACAAGCAAATAAAAAGATAAAACCTTGAAAAATAATAAACCAAAGTCCTTGTAACATTTCCAGTTAAATGCTCAATATGCTGTATTATCAGGTAAAAATCAATTATTTACAGAGGAACACTCTGCAAAGTGGACTTTCAGCCATTGCTGCAAGTAATTTTCACTCTATATATGCACACAAGCATAATGATTATATTTGGTCTAAGGTCGACCATGTGGGTGGTATGAAAATGTGAAAAATTTCGTCTTCAAACCAAAAGCACGCACAGCAGTCTGTACCAATATCTAACAAATAGCACTTTTTAATAAGATTTATGATCAATACAGCAGCACGGGTCACTTTTAGGAACTAGAGAGTATATATACTCTGACCCTGCAGTCAACATAATGCCTGCCAACAGAGAGGAAATACTTTTAGCTCTAATTATTAGAGCAATGTTTTCTGCCATGTTTTTTGGTCCAACTATCCCAAAAAAGAAAATATTCTGATGAAAATAGTCATTAAAACTAAACATAAATCTAGACTCAGGCGATGTTTTTGAAGAAATAGTTTGACATTTTTGGAAATACACTTGTTTACATTCTTGACAAGAGTTGGATGAGTAGATTGATACCACTCTCATGTTTGTACAGTAAATATGAAGCTACAGCCAGCAGATGGTATGGTTAGCTTAGCACAAAGGCTGGAAACAGCTAGTCTGAATCTGTCCAAACGTAACAAATCCATCTAGCGCCTCTAAAGCTGACTAATTAACATTATCCCATTTGTTGAACTTGTACAAAAACCCAAGTGTAAAAACTACACATTGTAGTTTTATGGAGGGTTGTTGGTAATTGTATTTTTTTTTTTTTTTACCATTGGACAAAGCCAGGCTAGCTGTTCCCTGTGTTTCCAGTCATCATGCTAAGCTAGCTGCAGCATCCTATTTATCGCACAAACATGAGAGTGGTATCAATATTCTCATCTAACTCTCAGCAAGACAGTGAATCAGCATATTTCCAAAAAAAAGTTTTTTTTCAGAACCAGATGTTCAGCTAATGTCAAAAAAAGGAAAGAAAGCAGATGACAGTAAATATTATCTGCTATTGTTAATTAACTGTTGTCCTCTAAATCAGCAGAAAATCCTGATATAAAGCTTTAAAATGAATGAAAGGTTCAGCTTTTCTCTATAGAAATTTTAACTCCATATCATGGCACATTACAGCTGTTAGGATGTCTTAGACTGTACTCCACAATACCCTAAACAAACGCTAAACTGACCTCACATCTAACTGTCAGATGTTTTCTTGAAGCCAACGAGGGACCAGTTGTACTTTGCAGTTTGGTGCGAAATGATACTTAACAGCACTCCTACTTCACTTTCAGGAACAAATACATTCTATCGTGAGCAAGATTATTCACAACTGTTACGTTAGTAATCAACACAGTGACCTCGAAGGGGTGGTGGGAAATCTGAGCTGAAATATGTGAAAACCAATCAGACCTGCATGTATTATGAGGGGGTGATGTAGCAGGGACTGTTGGCGTTTGACCCACTGAGGAGAAATGTGTTGACGCTGTATTCCAGTTACTGAACTCTGGAGATTACTCAAAAAAAAAAAAAAAAAAAAAAAAGTGAGGATGAGCTGGCTCCTCAGATCTGGGTACATGAGCTAAAAGCTAGCTGCAGCACACATAGACAACCAAATAAACAAAAGAAATAGAACAAGGCACAAAATTGTCTGTAAAATAATTGAACTGTACAGAATAGGCCCCAGCAGTCCAGGAAGGGTCGGATAGGAGACTCAGCAACGCCTCTTATTACCACTTGGCCACGGCAGTCCTACATACCATTTTTTTTCTCATTTCTTTCTTCTCTTCCTCTTTAAATCTCACCCTCCCTGCCCTCAAGCCGTCTCGTAACCAATCAGAGTTAGACATAATGCTCCTACAGCTACAGCACCACCACCATCAGCAGCTTTCCCACCCGTCTCTCCTGGCCTGTCCAGTTTAGATATAATACTCCTTCTTCTCATCTGTGTTGTTATGTCCTCCCTCTGCATTGATGATGGCCGTGTCTGCATCGGCTGCATCGTCAGCCCCTTTGGCTTCATGTGTGAAGTAAGTTCCTGCAAAAGATTACAGACAAATTAGCCAACACACCTCCTGCACCTCCTCATCCTCTTGTGCACTTCAATCCTATTGCACTCCACTTGCAACAAAAACACTTGAACTCTAAGATGTGTTCATGATCAAGTATGATTGCACTGCCGGTGCTTTACCTTTGTGTCTGGCAAAGTATCGACCAAGAACAATGAGTGCACAGAGGATGGCAAACATCACCACGGCAACCACTCCTCCGATGACAGCATGGTCAATTTTCTGTGGTGCCCCCTCACCGGCTCTGGAGTCTGAAAACAGGACAATAACCGTAAATAATTTCATGATCAGAAAACCCTCTCGGCCAGTCACAAGGCTAATACCTTCACACAGAGGGTGACCGCACTAGAAGCTATGGCTATTAAATCATTAGGCTGCCAAAATAAACTAAATTGGTTGGTTTTTTCTCAAAGCATTTTAGCATGACCTAACTTCGAACAGGAAACAGTTGAAAAAACTGCCAGTTTATGTTGTTCACCAGTGAAAATGAGATGGATTCCACAGCACACGCTGGTCCACAGAGGATGATAATGGTTCACAATTTGTCACTAAATATCCCACAAAGAGGCTATTAAAGCATTTAGTTGTTACTTACTGACAAATCCTGCAAACCACTGCCAATAATTTAGCTTTATAATCCCCTAAATAAGGCTTTTGCTAACAGAAATGTTTAATTTTTCCTCATTAATTTCCTTCCCAGCTTTATGTACAGTGTGATCATCCCATTGTTCATGAAAGAATTTAAAGTCAAAACCAAAATTAGCTCACAAAATCCATTTGCATATTATATTTAAAGGAATAGCTTTTTTCGCTGTGTTGCAGAGTTATGTCTGTACAGCAAATATGAATTGAGGCACAGTTAGAAGCAGGTTAGCATTGACATCTTGCTTGGATCCATCCAAAGGTTACCAAATCCACCTAAAGGCACCTTTAAAGTTTACTAATTAATACGCTATTGCTTGTTTGTTAAATTTGTACAAAGATCAAAGTATAAAACTTTTTGTTATTTTTACAGGTGGTATGTCCCAGATTGTTTTTTGGCACAACAGTCTTTGTGTGAAGCTAAGCTAACCATTTACTGGTTGTAGCTTCACACAGAAATGAGAGTGGCATCATTCCTTTTGTGTAACAATGTAGTAATAATAAAGAACATATTTTCCAAAATGTTAAACTATACCTTTAATTTAAAAAAAACAGTATGGATTACATTAACATATTTAAAATAATGTTAAAATACAGATGTCTCTCTCAAGGTGTTATATGTTGAACCCAGCTTATTATATGAATGTTTTCAGAGCTTCATATAGCTGAAATGGGTGTCCGAGCCTCTTGAGTGAGCAATGTTGAAAAATGTTTTAAGACGGTTATTTCAGCACGAAACAGTAGACACCGTCTGCAATTTCAGTGAGAGTTCACACAGTGAAAAATACATTGTGATTTAAGAGGCAATTTCTGGAAGTTATAGAGCTCAATCATCAGAAATAGACACAAGTTTGGAGATAAATTGGCAGGCGGTGTCCCCATGCAGAGAAATACGTGGTTGCCTCAGGTGTCACAGAGTATCACTGTCTAGCATTTAGCCAGATTTATCCGTGCACCACAGAAGAACAAGGCAAAATTCGAAGCCTTTAAATTTCCAGTCTCAGAATAGTTCAGAGGCATTTATCAATAGTCTATATCTGTGCACATTTGGACTGATGGAGGAGTGGCTGGTGAGGGAATGGCTGCACTGTTCTTTGCTGCATGAGAGAGCAGCTCAATTTTCCATCACTCTCACTAGTCATGCTCTGAACTTGAATGATTTTGATAAAAGACGAGCGAAGAGTGCAGAATTTCTCAACACTGTGAGGGTGTAATAAGTGGAGCTGAGGAGTCTAGTGACACATTTCGCATCTCAACCGAAGAACAACACCTTATTTAAGTTGCATTCAGTTAGTGCGAGGACATCTTGGAAGTGGAACTGCAATGAAGCTAATTAATGAGAAAAGTTTTGTTTCACTTGAGCGCTCTCTTAAAATGGACTCGTCTTCACGGAGCAAGCCACTGCTGTGCGTCGGTATGTGTGAAGTGGGGATGTGAAAGGAGCAGTTTGTTTACTGTATCGGGGATGTCAGATAGCACAGCTCGTTCCCAGAGGAAAGGGAAACGGCCCATGCTCCATGCTAATGAACATACACGCACTAAATGGCCTGTGCACGGTCCTGTCTCCTCCCTCACTCCCCCACACCTTCCTGCCCTCACCTTGCTCCACGCTGTCTTCCGTTTGACACATCCGCAAGGAAACATGCAGGGTCTCAGCCGCCTCTGCACAGCGAGGGAGAGTTTTATTTAACAGGTGGAAAAATCTGCCCAGAGTAATCACTGAGCCTCTATCACAGAAATGTCAGAGAAACTAAAAATCCCATAGCACCTACAGTATCGACTGTTATGGTTGGTTGCATATCATGTTGGCTATATCAAGTACTCTACTGAACACTGGTTTTCTGTTTGTCAGTTTTGTATTTATTACAGAGGACGGCCACATAAACATGGTCTCAAATTCAATATACATGCAATAAATATTACTGTTTTACTCATTTCTATTCATTTTATGATGTTGCTGCAGGAGTGCATTATATTGTAAGGAGATTATGAGACATGTTTCATAATGCAATGTAATACAGAGGTCTAAGGTGTATTATGAGATTATTTTAACTAGTCATGTGGTACTTGAGAAAACAGATTTATGTTTTCTGTGGCTTTGAACAAAAAAAAAAAACCTTGACTGATGATATATCAGGGTCTATTATTGGGTTTGGGGGCTGCAAAGCTTTAACACGAATTGGAGTTGTCTTGTTTTTGTACTGGATGTACAAATGTTAACTCTCCTGAAAACAATGTGCTGTTTATCATTATTTTAATTTAACAGTGGAGGACATCATCTGCGCAATAAGACTGCTAACTTCACACATTCCATAAGCACCTGCATATAATGTACTACCTGAGGAACCGATCAGTGTCTTTTACCTTAATATGTGCTTAAGAGTGACATTCAAGATAATCATATTTCATATTAAGTGTTTCACATGTGAATATTACACCAGGAGCCAGATGCATAAAACTCTGTGTAGATTCATGACTAAAACTATGTGTACGCACAAAACCAGAAATATTCATATGCATTCTTTTCGGCAGAATTGTAAAGGTGTGCGTACACATGGTTTCACTTTATAAATCTCACTCATTGAGAAATTGGGCGCATGTGCACAAGCCTCATTTCCACTCCCACAATTAGCCATAAATGGATGAAGACACTCCTTTAATCAATCAATATGGGTAAAAAAAAACACTCTGCCACAGGTTATAAGGCATGGCACAGAAAAGAAACATGAGAAAGACGTGAAATTGAGGCTCTTACAAATGGGAGACAGAAACGTACATCAGTACCAGACTAGTACAATCACTCCAACTGCAAAGTCCTGTTTTACACTGAACTTCATTTATTGGGACTTGACAGGTGTCTAACATTGTGATTAGTAAATATTAAAATAGTATCGAAACAGTTTACAGAATGCCTCACAATAAATAATAAGGTCATTAAATGATGCTAAAGGAAACATTGAGCACACAAACAATTATTTCGGTTTATGAATCGTAAAATAGTTTTTTCTATGTAAATGTGTAAACTTGATGATGATGATGATTATGACGAATGTGAAGTTGGTTTTATTTTATGTTAAAGTACATGTCGTGGCTTATTTTTTATTTTCACTTCACTGCTTTGGAAAACCGTATGTAAGCATTGTCAAAGGAATGCGTGAGGTGCGCACATTCTCACCGCACATTCTGTATTTATAAATACCAATTTATGAGCGGGAAGTGGCGTACGCATGGTTTTTGTGTTTACACATCATTTATGCATCTGGCCCCAGGAGAGTCTAGTGAAAAGATGCTACTGGTTGCATTATGAGAAATAGAGGTTACAGCATTTTTGAGCTCGACCCATATTAGTCAGGATTTCTCAGCGGATGCTGCATCAATTTTTTCTTTTGTTTATTTATCATGTGAAAAAATGTCGTACCTAATTCACATAATAACTAACATGGTTTCTGCAGAGTTCACCAAGTTAGATTTAAGACCTTTTTAATACCACATAGAATACAATTTAATATCAGTTTCACAATCATACCTGACAAAAGATTAAAATTTGTTAGAAAAACAGTAGGGACGATATGGCTCAAAATTAAAGTAAAAGTAAATTTTTTCATTATATTAATTAACCAATTAAAACATAATTAAGGCAGCTGCTATTATATACAGGGGTCTATAGCACGAAGCCAGATAAGATGGATATCCTGCTATGTTTGGGCTTAACTCCGGTATCAGGAACCCTAAAGCTATCCAGGAGGATCACCATGGTAACCTATGATTCAAGGCTAACTGCTCCAGAGGAGGTTAACTTCAGAGGATCAGATCAAAACCTGTCCACAGCCTGACTACTGACCAATCAGATCACTGAAAAAAAAACTGAGTCATAATTCCTACTGGATTCGTAGATAAAGTAGTTTACAATAAAGTGACCAAAAATAAAGAGCAATAGATACTTTTATAGATAATTAGAATCATTCTGCTGTTCTATGTGACCGCCCTGGTCTTAAATGTAATTATGAATATAATTACATAATGACTATAATAGCTTAATTTTAATTGCAAAAAATTTCTTTCATTCCTGTCAGGATTCCTGACACTGTTGATGCTTTTACTCTCTTATTCCATCGCTGCAGCTCAGAATAAATGAGGAGACTTAGAAGATAATTGGAAATACAAACTAAAGCCTCTGTTGTCTTTTGTTAGAAAAATAATCCACACTGTTAGATATTTGCCATGATTATAAATACAACCTGCCAATAAGATAGACTTCATCAGGCTTCAGACTGACATTACTTTTAACTTTAATAAGTACATTACATATTCAGAATAGATTGTTCATCATCAGACAAAAAAAACTCACTGTATGCTTAAGACATAATATAAAAATCCCAGCACTTATTTATAACCTTGCCCTTTAAATGATTTCTAATGTTTCTACAACATTAATGATTCTAGTTATGTGATCATGTTTATATTTCACCTTGTTGAATATCACTTTCTGCTGTTACTTTAACCAAAATTACCCACAGATATGACAGTTTCATCTCATCTCATATATGAATTACTTCATTCATGGTTCTGACGATGTTGCTTGTTACTAACAAATCTGCCTCTTTCACAA